CTATTAAAATCTTTTGATCCCCCATATCTGCCCCACCCTACACCCAGGGATCATGATTTGAACATATGTCAATCTATACTACCCGTTGATGCTTCCATAAAAATATGACTAAAAATCACTGCTTTGCTGCTCTTAATAAGATTTTTAAAGATATTTCCTATATATTCCTATGCATAACTTTGATTCCCTGTTGTGGCCCATCCCTACACCGGAGAGTCATGACTTGTACAAACTTATATCTACACTACCTGAGAATGATTCTGTACAAATATGACTAATTATGGTTTTGCTGTTCTTGAGATTTTTAAAGATATTTCCTATATATTCATATGTTATGTATAACTTTGATCCCCTGTGGTGGCCCCACCCTACCTCCAGGGGGTCATCATTTGAACAATCTTGAATCTACACAATCTGAGGATGCTTCTGTATTACATGTAATATGATTAATCATGTCTTTGCTGTTCTTGAGAAGATTTTTAAAGATATTTCCTATATACCAATAAAACTTTGATCCCTTTGTGGCCCCGTCCTACCCTCAGGGGTCATGATTTGAACAAACTTGATTCTACAGTATGTAATAAAGCTTTCACACAAGTTTTATCTTTTCTGGCCCAGTTCATGGTTCTTGAGTATTTTAAAAGATGCCATCAAACTTTCATGAATTCTTAATTATCTCCCCTTGAGAATGTGGCACTTCCTGTAAACAAACTTAAATCCCCTCTACCCAAGGATGCTTTGTGGCAAGTTTGGTTAAAATTGGCCCAGTAGACATAGAGAATAAGTTGAAAATGTGAAAAGTTTACAGATGGGTGCTGGATGGAGCCTCCTGCTCAGGTGAGCTAATAAATGACAATAATAAATGTACTTTAGGATCTGGAATCTTCTATTGGGCATGAATCTCTGAAGCAAGTATGAAACCCAAATGTCATGTTAATCTCTTCAAATTTTGTCCAAAACTTTACACTTAGTACTTTCTTGGACTTGATCTTCCAAACTCTGGAAGATGATAAATGGAATCATCAGTTCATATATTTACAAACATCTTAGGAGCGATATTGTGGCCAAATCCCCTGATCAGGCCTGAGGGAAAGGATCAGAAATAAGAATACCTACTTAAAAATATAACAAAGAGCTTGATTAATTTTTGGTATTAATCTATAAATATTTTCAGCAGCCTGCAATGTGTTTTAGATCCTCACCTTTACTACAGGTCTACATCAGATAAACACATAACAATTTTACAAAATGAAGCAATTTTGTACCCCTGCTTAAAATTTTGGACTTCTTTTTGTAAGAGAAAGGTACTTTAATGTTTTAATATGAGGCCATGTTGCTCTTTTAAAAAAAGAGGCCCATGGGCCACAATGCTCACCTGCATGAGTTACTGCAGCCCTGCTTTTTTTATATCCCCTTGAAAAATTGTGACCCAATATTATGGACCCACCCTAACTCTAAGGGGTCTCTGAATCCGCACACCATTGGGATGATTTAATATAAATATGGCTAATATAGCCTTGCAGTTATGGAGAAGAATTTTTTCCCCCTGTATACACACAACAAGTTAAATTTGATCCTGATATTAGCCACCTCTACCTGGGGTCTTTAATTAAAAAAAATAAACTTACACAACATGGGCATTTGAATTAAAAAAAAATGACCATCAAACTGAATTTTTTTGGAAAATTTCAACTACCCGGTACTTATAAAATATTTTTCACTTATATCATCATATTGCACATGCATTCTAGTTTAAAATCCTGTAGTGGCAATATAATAGAAAATTGGATAAAAAAGTTTCAGATTTTTTATTAGTAAAATTTCTTTTGAAAAAAGAAAATGTCATTACACCTTAAAAGACTTTCTAAAATACATAATCACAAGAAATTATAGTTTTTTTTATGCTTCAAAATGGTAAAAGGGGTATAGATGATTAAACCTAGACCTTGATTGAGTATCTTCTCTTGTATATGTGAAAAAAGTTGGCTTTTTGATTGTTATTTTACATTATTTTTTTCAATTCTGGTTTGAAAAGTTTTAATATGAAAAAAATATGAAGCAATAAAATTCCTCAAAAGTCACTTTTTTGTCCGTTCAAGTCAATTCTTTAAATCTAAGCCAAACAAGGATTTTTATATACAAGTTCTCTTACAAAAACAAGATTTTGAAGTAACCCTATGTTACATTATTGTGTTGCACTCCTGACATCTGATATGTATTTTATTTAACATTGTTTTAAAAATTATAACACACAATAACCCATTCTTACTTTGTAAATCAATTTGTCGTTTTGATATTTTTCATCTTTTACGGCAGGTTTTTCATATTTTGAAGACCTTAAAACATGATTATTTGCAAAGTGTAATATATATAAATTGTATTTAAAACTATATGTGACATGATGAAAACTATTCCCTGAATTGACTGTAAAATTTCTTAAATTTGTTGAGACATAGTGCTTTGAACATCAAATAGTATCAAAAATTTTCTTCAACTTATCTTTTAGTAAAGATAGTTAAAAAGCATTGGTAATTATAAAGCAGTTTTGTTGCACTCCTGACTGCAGTAAAATTTAAAATTAAAACCATATAGCACAAAAATTCATATAGTGTTGGCAACATCAAGTGGTAATGAAATTGTGCAATATTTATAACCCAATACTTCAGTATTAAAACAGATGAAAGTATTTAAAATTCACATTTTATCTGAAATTATTCCCTATTTATGCCAAAAAAACTAGCTTAAATGTATACTTAGAAGATGAAATATACTTTATAGCATATTTTCCTTTAGAGGACGAACACAGTAACCCACTAGAAAAATTCTATTCATCATTTTTTCTTTATTTTTATTCTTATTGGATGATTTATAATTCTAACATATTTGTTGCACTCCTGACCAAAAGCATTGGGGCATTCAAAGTAGAATTGTGAAGTGAAAATTACATAAGAACTTGTTCTGTTGTTTCAGTGAAGCTGAGGAGGAATTACTTGAATTTTATGACAATTTTTTAGTGTGTTTATTTTTAATGTTCATTAAAAAAATCACAAAAAAGATAAAAACACATCTGAATTGATAAAATTGAAAAAAGAAGGATTTTTATAATAAAACTGTCAATAATTTAGTATTAAATTATACAAAAAGATCATTATTAATTAATGAATACTTCTAAGCTTGAATAGAAGTGTTTTCGACACACAATTTGAATCTTTAAAAAAATGTGTTGCACTCCTGACCATAGAAATATAGATCTGAAGCACAGCAAGATCCTGTAATTGATAAATCTATTTGGTAAAAATGTTCTTTGTGTCTTTATTTTCCAAAATAAAAATCAGAAAATCACATAATGATAATAGTTTTTTCATGCTTGGGAGCAAAACATCAAATGTTGCACTCCTGACATCATTGGGTATGCACATATACTTGACTCTCATTAATGCTGCTTGTGATTTATATAAAATTTTTAAGTTTTAAAATGTATATCAGTTATTGTTTTACACTTCGAAAATTCTCTTTTTGTCTTAATTTTCTTTCAGAATTTTACAATTGATGTTTTTTTGGCAACACTACATTTTTTCTGTTGCACTCCTGACATGGTATAACATTTTTTTAAACATCAGCCATAACCACAACTTGATTAAACGAAAGTTACTACAGTCCAAATTTAAAGCTCAATATACTTTGAATATTATCCGGAAAGTCTTTATTTTCAACATGAAGCATTATTATTTATTTCACAGATCTCCAAAAATATTGAAATTTCAAAATGTCACAAAAAGGTGTTGCACTCCTGACAATTTTAGCATCATTTTTGGGCATAACTTTTTTGTTAATTCAGATATCAATGAGATATTTGGCAGGTAGTTAGACACTACCAAAAGACAAAAGGGAACCCTTTACCTAAGTTTTATCTTTCTGTCCAGTGTTTCTTGAGAAGAAGATTTTTTAAGATTTTTCTTATAGATTTCAATGTAAAAATTTGATCCCTTATTCTGGCCCATACTAGTCTCAGGGTCCATGATTTGAACAATTTAGAATCTACATTATGTCTACAAGCTTCCAAATGAGTTTCATCTTTTCAAGTCCTGTGGTTCTTGAGAAGAAGATTTTTAAGATTTTTCCTACATATTTCTATTTAAAACTTTAATCCTTTGTTGTGGCCCCAGCCTACTGCCAGCATTCATGAATTGAACAATTTAAAATCTACATTATGGCTGGAAGCTTTCATATAAGTTTTATCTTTTCTAGTCCAGTAGTTCTTGAGAAGATTTTTCTCATGTGAGCTAAAAACTTCCTTAAATTTACACATATACTAGTAAATTCTTGGAATCAAAATGTTTGAAATACATAGGAATGCCTGTTCACATTGTCAAATTGGTTTTCAGCCAATGCAATATGAATTTCCTATTAAGGTATCCGACCCATAATAGCAATTCAATGAAACTGAACGCATAACAGATATGTATGGGTTGAAATCTCAGTATATCTAGACATAATTTTTATGTTTAAGTATCAGTATGCAAGACTGAATGTGCCCTAATTTAAGAACTTGTTATGTCCTTGAAGAGTTATTTCCCTTTGCTTTTAATCATTAAAAATTAATTCTAAAAAAACCTATCTGATATATAATTAGTTTTTAATCATTTTTCTATTCCTGATGATTAAATACATCTTTCTACCACAACATTTATTGATATTCTTAATGTTTCATTTTTTTATTTTCAAAAAATTGTCCCCTTAGACTCCAATGCATCAATTACTGCTTACATAATTAAATTTTTGAAAAATTCTCTTGGTAAATCCTTTTCTACTCTAAAATGCTTTGAATTAATATCAGAGTATTTCATATATAATGGATAGTTATGGTTAGAATATTAGGTCCTAATATGGTTGGATACTTAATATATAATAATAACCTTAATAAAATGTAAAACTTAAGACCCTATTGTAGCAAACAAGGGTCCTTGATTCAAACAAAGTTGAATACAAGAAAAGCACTACATTGTTTTATTCTAACGTCAGAAAATGACAATTTACCTTCCAGAAATTATTTTAAATTTTCCAGTGTAACAAACAGATACATTCCAGCATGATAATACAATCAACATAAGGGGACAGATTCATCTTGTCTCTAACAAATGTGTATGTAAACATGGTCCCTTACAACTGTTTTGCCAACAGACAGTACTTAAAATTTCATTTGTCAAAAAACAAGACAAGCACCTGACAGAGATCTAATTTAGTATAGACTAATATTGTTTTCTACAGTAAACCTTTGCCACACTGGAGAGTGATTTCCATTTTTCAGTAATCTCTCTCTCCAGCATATGCTGATGTCATTCTCGGGCTCATTAGCAGATTTTGTTGCTTTCAGTAAATGCCTTCCCTAAAAGTTTCATAATTTCCCCATGCTTGAGGTCTTTCTCCCTTTCCTTCATGGTTCCATAGTTTTCTTTGACGTACATAGCAAACTTGTTGGGGGTCCTGGGTGTTGCAGGGGTAGAGCCTGACCCCTGGGACGTCTGTCGGTTGTTTATCAGGACAAATTGTCCGTGACAGAATCCACACACCTTTCTTGAAGTGTCCAGTGATTTTGAGTGTCGACCAATACTGAAACAAAATAAACAATGCATAGTTTTCTTATTTTCACATTTTTTTTACTTGCTCCATGTGGAATTGAGTCTTCAAACTTCAGTAAGATGCAACCAATCACCTTTAAAAAGGCCAGGTAATGAGCCAGGATATAACTTAATGCCAATGGTTATGTTCAAGAAACAGCTTTATGCAACTAATCCTACTTTGGAAAGTTTCATTTTTGTTCCCGACAGAAAACTGCTGCATTTGAATGCTTCTGCTTCTACCATTTTGACAGGGTAGCGAATGAAAATTGTTCTGCAGAAATTTCCTCACTGTTCAGTTGTAAACATTGCGTGGCAAAGTAAATTCTGAATTAGCCTAAAAGTTGGGGGATTCTGTGCATCAGATAAGAGTTATTTTCTCAAATAAGTAGATTAAAAAAATAAGGAGGTTTTAAAATCCTAATGTGCTGTATGTAAAGAAGAGTAATGAAGCCATGAGTTTCAATTTAGGGTGGCTGAGTTTCTTAGTACACTGTACTAAAATGTAGGAATCATTATTACAGGATGTATAAAAGAATCTATACACTATTTTATTTTGAATGTTATCTTTTGGGAGGAACAGTGTCACATTTGGTCTTCTGGGCTGCTAACCTAGCAGCTAGGAGGTAGATATCTAGCTCTAATGAACAGACAACTCACTTAGCAGCTAGATTAAGATTTAGGATACAAATATCTCATAAATAACTAATTTTTGGAATAAAGTAAGGTAAACTCAAGCAAATATGTATATGTTTTAAAATTTACATGTAATTTGCTAAGATTGAGAAAACAACCTCATATTTTTTTAGTACCTTGTATGATGCAAGGTGGTAACTTAGTAGGCCATCCTGGATTTCGTACCTAGCATAAAAAATTTAGCTTTCCCTACGTAGCAGCTAGGCTAGCATATTGTTCAAGATCGTTACTATATATAGAGGCTGCATAGCCACTACAATCTGAAATTCATACTGAAAAATCTCTAATTTACCATCATGCTCATGTAGTGCACAATATATATCACTGTACACGTCAAATTTAATTGAAAATTTTAAGAATGATAGTTTTTAACATAGACAATATTTAAAATTTATAATTTATATCACACCATCAGAAATCTAAACTTATGGACCATATTTAATTCATTCTCAATACCTGTATCCACATTTACTACACTGATACGTGTACTTGGTAGCAATGCTGTAACTATGGCAACGGGCAATGATAGGAATTTCAGGATGAGTCAAATTAGCCTTTTTGGCCCTGAAAAAGAGATGAAAATGTGTAGATCATCAGAAATTCATTGTGAAATTTTTGAATACACAAAGATCAATGGCTTTAATGAAGTGGATCTGATTTTTGAAGAAGGTGGGTAAAAAATATTAAAACATAGGTAATAAGAGATTACAGAGCTCACCTCAAAGAATGTTGTCTTTAAGTAAGACAAAGTCCCACACTAAACTAATAATCTAGTAGTGTGCATCCCTAGATACAAATTAACATTTATGCAACTTTGGTCTTATAAGGCTTGCAGTTACTTGGGAATGGACTTATCTAAAATCTTTGAGGTAGTCAAATCCAGCATCTGAAGCAAGTTTGAATGTTCATCCCTTGATGCATCATCCATGCAAGTTTGGTTCAGATAGGCCTTATAGTTTCTTGGCAATGGACTGCTCCCAAAAACTTTAACCTGGTCACTCATCCAAAAAATGTAGGTTAGATCCAGCATCTGAAGCAAGTCCAGTAGTATACATCCTTAGATGTATCATTCATGCAAGTTTGGTCAACATAGGACTTTCATTTACTTGGAAATGAGATCTGCTCCAAAAACTTTAACCTGCTCCAAAACATTAACCATGAAACACATTAGAAGCATCCTCCATGCACCTCTGATTGATACAGGGCATGGAAGTACTTGAAAAGAAATCTGCTCCAAAAACTTTAACCTGGGAAGCTGACGCCGAGGGTATTATATAAGCTCCCCCAACTTTGTTGAGGTGAGCTAAAAATTGTTCTATAGCTATAGTAAGCAGAAATACAATGAATGATATCTCTAAACTTTCTCCCAATATAATACTTGATACAGCAATATTTAGCAGTTGTCCAAAGAAATTTATATTTTCTCTTAAAGGATTTCATTCATTTCTCTTTAAGTTTTTTACTTCATCGAGATGTATTACCATATTCTCCAGTAGGGACCATGGCCATCATTTTTGCCGTGAAGCAGCCAAACAGCAGCATGACAGAGTTCATGGATCAAGGTGTCCCTCACCCTCTCTGTAAGTACAAAGGATACAAGTGTTCAAAGAGGAAAAGTATCCTTTTTTGAAAGTAATTATGACTTAAGAAAAGTGTTTGAAATGATGAATAATTTAAAGCATGTCAATTACTTCATCAAAAAATTTGTATCTCTTCAAACCCACTTCAAGATATTATATTTGTGTGCAAATACAGATAAACCTGTATCTTGAACATCTATATCTTAAATACCATGGATATACATGTGTATATTGAAGTGGATTGGAAGTTAAAAACACTTTATCTGCATGTATTTTATCCTTAATATAAAAAATCCAAAGATATCATGTTTTTTTTCAGCCCCATTGAGTTCCAGATAACAAGATCTGGAGTTTGAACAAATTATAATTTACAAATAGCTTTCTGGTGAATGGTTGGACATTTGATGATATTCTATGCAACATTTTTCATGAGGACCTAAAACATAGCATAGTAAACAAGAGGCCCAAATTGTAAGATTGCTCACCTGAGCCTCTTTCCTTTTCTGACAAATGAATGAGTTAATAAAACCTTATAGTGTTGCCCCAAATATGCATTTAGCAATTCCATTATACAGTAAATTAAATGGTAAACTAATTGAGATCATGCAACCAAGTCATAGCCTTTTTATTGCCCAAAATGTTCAGGTATGAAAACCTCCATCATAATCGGATTAGCCTTCACTAGCCTCAAGGTTATGTTTTGTATGAATTTGAATCTATATCAGACTGGGATATTTGCATTTTACTGGTAATAAAACTTATTGATACTCTGCTACTCTTGAAATCTTTAATAAATTTTAAAGATTCCTTCCTACATAAAAATTTGACCCCCCCCCCCCCCTTACTGTGGCTACATCCTATGCTCAAGGGCCAAAATGTGAACAATCATGAAATTATACAACATGGGGATAGATATTTACTTATCAATTTTCCTCATTCTGTAGATTTTCTCTCTATACCGGTATTTTGATGCAAAATTTTGATTCCCTACCCTAACCTTTGAGTCCATGATTTAAATACTGTAAACCAACTTTTATTCATGTGCGAGAAATATCCACGAATTTCGCAACCTACTTCAACACAAATATTAATCACCATTTCTTTTGCTTTGTATTTGTAGAGAATGTTTCCTCAGTCACAGAAATTAATCGTCACGGATTAAATTTTAAACTGATGAATCGCGAAAAAAAGATTGCGCAAAAAATAGTTGGTTTACAGTATTACTATATGAGGGTGCTTTCATGTAAGTTTTTCCCTTTGTTTTCAGGAGATGATTTTTGCCTATTTATACTACCTCCCTTTAGTATGGGGCATGGTCCTTGTTTTAATAAAACCTGAATCCCCTCAACCTATGAATGCTCCTTACAAAGTTAAAATTGGCTCAGTGGGTATTGAGGAAAACTTAAAAATATAAAAAAGTAAACAAGTAGATAACAGATGAAATAAAACCCAAGACCTTTGGTCTGGGTAAGCTAAAAGTTTAAGTTCAAAGATGAAATCGTATTCAATAAACTTTCAATAATTATAAAAAAAAGTTTAAGTAAGGTACAAAGATGAAACTGTATTCAATGAACTTTCATGTACCAAAAATTCCTAATAATTCAATATAAACTTTTAATAAATGATGTATTTACCTGGTGAGTCACAGACTTTGGTGGAGAGCTCGACTCGGACTGAGCTGCTGTCTCGAACCTTGGCATTCTTCTTGTACACACAATACCCAGCCGTCTTCAAGAGGCGATTGTTCCACAATATTGGCAGATCCTCTGGAAGCTTATGAAAATATGACAGATATCAATACATACTTTCTTTGTTTAAAGCTTTAAGAGTCTTTTGTGAATGAATAATCAAGGCAACTGTATCATCAAAAGCATTGTTGTAGGAAATTAAAATAAAGTACATTGAACTTTATAGATGTACTTGAAGTGTTCTTTTCAAATGAAGCACAAATTGAGAGTCTTTGATTCTCACTGGCTCTACAGGTTTGAAATTGTAAAACTAAGAAAAAAAAAACTGACGTTAGACTTATAATATTTCAAGTTTTACAATTTTTCTGAACACTGACATTATTCTTTTTTTAAGAATTTAGAACGTTTTAAAATTAAAAATTTTTCAAGAGTTCCTCTATAGTCGTTTATTTATAAATTTTGGTGACAATGAATGAAAAGATGAATGTCATTTTAAAACTAGAGGTACTGTGTGCACTGAGCTCACAAAATGATCCCCCGTGTCCCATATGATTATAATGCAAAGTCCATGTTTTGCTATGGGAGGCCCAAAATAAGCATCAGATGAAAAAAAATAGGAGGCGCACAATGGCACTATGTAATAAAGATTCTATGAAAGTATCATTAAATTTTATTCAGTGGTATAGGAGGAGTTGTAGATAAGAGATGGGTACCCCTCAATATTATAGGAAGAATGGCAGTGTCTATCTTTTGCTACTGAGAACCTGAAATATGTGTCTGATCAAAAAAGTAAAATAGGAGGTCACAATGGCATTATGTTACAAAGATTTTCTGAGAGTCTCATTAAATTTCATTCAGTGGTATAAAGGGAGTTGTGAATAAATGATGTGTATCCCAAAGCATAACAGATGGATGGACGGACATCTCAATCACTATACAACCCCCGCTTGAAAAGCTGTGGGTATAATAATTTAAGAGATTTAATGATGGCAAAGCTATTTATCAAAATATAAAATATAGCAAAATTTCATTATGCTAGGACTGAGAAAAAACAAGATGTCAAAGGGTTTAAGATATTGAGGCTAACATTCAGAAAGAAAATGTGGTTTGTTCTTTCAACTCACTTAAACATATCTATGGTATTCAAGTTATCGATGTTCAAGAACCAAAGTTCTATGCCCTACCCAAGGTACATTTGTATTAAAACATGTAAAGAAATGTACCTTGCTTCTTCAATCTCAGCTAATAGCAAAATATGATAAAAAGGAATAATTTTCATTTCCTTTTCATACACAAAAATTATCTTTAGTACAGTTGTATTGCATGTAAAAAAGAAAATTGTATCTTATTGTAGTTATTATACCTTATTACCAAGTTTTACTGAAAGTAATTGAAAGGTGTAGGAAATTTTGCATTTTGAAAAATTGTTTACAGATGCTGTACAATTAGCTATTTAAACAAAGAATGGAAAACTTCTGGTCTAAAACCAGACAGCTTGAAAGGTAACATAACATATCCTTTTAATACATTCAAAACCGGAATCTTTTACCTTTTTTTCAAAAACAGTCTCATTGTATAATTTATACAGTCTGTTGGTTAAGTCCTCTTTCATCTTTTTGAAATTCTTAGAGTACCTAAAATACAGAAATGTTAAACTAAACACTGGGATCATTTATATGTCCTTAACATGAATCAAATGCTTTTCAACTACATGTGTATTGGATTATCTGACAGTGTCAAAAACTTTAACAAGGAAATCATTTTCTGTCAAACAAAATTAATATCTTTCACCTAAATGCTGGCATTTTTCCTGTGAAAATATTGCATGCATTTCAGGTAGAAATAGACATGGAATAAATCACATCTCACAATTTAGATAGATATACTTTTAGATATTGAATCTGAATTTCAAATTGTTTGAAAATTCTTCAGGAAGTTACATACATGCACATGGAAACTAAAAACGAGAAATCTGCAACAAAATATATCATGATGTTGGCTTTGCAACATCAATACATGTATGACAGTTCTTCATAAAACAAAAACAAAAATCCTCAAAAACAAGATTTTTTTCTTGATTTCCCATCAGAAAGTAAATAGTGCATGGATTGTGCATAAAGATAGTAAATTCATATGGATAATCATCATATAGCACAACACTTTTGTTTTGCTAGATGCATCAAAACATTTTCCGAGACATTTCAATTTCATGGTTCCAATTCAACCTACATTTTCCAAATTACAGTAAATCAGGACACATCTGGTTAAAAAAAATTGGCCGGATTAGACAACATTCTGGATTAGACAACATTGAATAAACTAAAGGGGTCTTGTTTAGTATGAGCATAGTTATAGCAAATTCACGGATATAGCCAAATACTTTGGAATCTTCAGTGAAATTCTTAACAAATCCCAAGAAAATTTTATGGCTATAACGAACTTTGATATAATGAAATTATGGATATAGCGAACTGATTTTGTGTCACATAGAGGATGTAAATAATGAAATTCATCTTTTATAACAACTTTTAAAAGCTTGCGATTAAAAATATTGAACTGACATTATTTTTTCATAAGACATGACATTAGATTTGAAATTCAATTAATCAGCTTAAGTACTCCAATGAAAATTTTGTAATACCATTTTGGGTAGTCATACTTGAAGGAAAAGATGCAAATTGCGAAATCAATAAATGTACATTATTGAATTCGTTATGTATGGATTTATTAGGATAAGCAAAGTAAATTTATAGTTACCCAGGACTTTGCTATAACAAAGTTTTACTTATCATATTAGGCAAGATTTCGGAATGCACAACATCTGGATAAGACAAGTTTCACTGTGATAATAAGTTCAGTTTGTGATATCATATACAACCAATGCCTTCCATCATAATAATTCAGCAAGGCTAAATAATTTACTTCAAAGGATTAAACAAAACATATTTCAACAAAAATGGAGCCATCTTGTACCTTGCACTTTAGGATGAAAACATCTTTCTTATCCAAAAAATCAGTCAGGCTATAAAACATATCATCCAGTTATTTTTAAACTATTTAGAATCACACCAAACCCTAGGACTGACCTGAGAGCCTCTCTATCACACCGATTCTCTGGAGTGCCCATCGACAGAGACTTAAGGAAGTTATACTTGGGTTCCTGCTTGTCCTCCCACACTTCATCTCTCTCCGTGCTTGACATTGGCTTCTTCTGGATTTTCTGCCTTGGTTTCCTTATGATGGGCTTAACGTCTGGAAGGTTTTTTTGAATGCAAGTATAATACCATGTGCCATTGCATATTAACTTAGCATTAACAATAACAAAACAATAGACACTTATTATTTAAGTTTACATCTTACCCTTGTATCACACTTCAAAGAAACTATAATTAACCACTTGGTTTTTATCACCTTTCTCCCACCCTGGCCTCTATCTTTTTATTTATTGATATATTAGCCATGCTTAAGTCATGAAAAACAAAAAGGAAGAGTTCAAAGTTGTAGCAAGATGTAAGGTGATTACGAAGGTATAATCTATGAATTTACTAGTAATGGTTATTACAATAATTGTTACTAATGACAACCAGAAGTCTCTAACAAGACTGTAGCTCTACTGGTGTGTACTTATAAAAAGAAAGATACATCTTATTATAGGCTGCTTTTTTACCAAGTCCTATTGAAATTAGACCAAAATTGTTTGAGTGGCATTTTGAAAGTATGCCAAAGAAATTCTAATTTTTAGTACTAGTAACTAAATGATATATAGCATTATGCATCTTAGTATAGTCTACTGCTTGTACACCAAGTCTTATTCGAAATCAGATCAAAATTATACGAGGCATAGCATTTAAAAGAATTTCACAGAAATTTCAATTTTTAGTTACCACAGCATTATTTGTCAAAATTAAAAACCAAGAAATAGAATTATTCATCTTGTGTACTAAGTACTATTGAAATCAGACAAAAACTGTAGAAGTGTTTTGACAAATTGTTTACAGATGGACAGATGGGCAGACATCGGACACCAAATACATAAGCTTTTCTGGTCTCTGACCAGTAGAGCTAAAAATTGACAAATGTAAATATTTTGGGATAGTCTTAGTATTTCCATCTTTAATACACAGAGAGGTATTCAATAATTTTCTTCTTTATAAAAAAAAAATTTAAATTTCCATTCTCAAACAAAATAGCAAAAAATATAAATACTCTATATTCATGTGTGTTTATAAAAACAAAACAAAAAAACATACAAAGATATATTAGCACCCACCAGATTTGAAGATGTTGTCATCATCACTGTTATCCAGCAAGATTGGTTCCACTTTCCTACAATTTTAAAGAAATCTTCATTTTTTTTCTCTTTCTCTTCTGTTCTTATTTAAAAACACAAATGCAATTAACATAATTGTGCAGAATTTAAATTCTGATGCATCTTTGGTAAAATGCATGAATTTATGCATATATTTCCTCCGACTTTGATCAACACACTCCTGAAACTAGATTTGCTTGAAATGTGAGAAACTTTTCAAGGAAGACAGGTCTGTATCAAATATTTACACAGATCTGAATGAGTGAGTGAATCTACTGTAAATGTATTATATTTAGCATGTACCATATTTGGCTGAAATTGATTATTGAACAAGTTAGTGTAAATTTGACTTAGCGCATTTCTTAACGTTCTTATTTATGTGTATAGGTGCAAGAAATCAGCGCTGTACTTCAAACAGTGGAAGTTGCTTTCCATGAAAGGCATTATAAAGAATACACAGCAAAATTTAATAGGTTTACAGTATCTACCTGTGTACCCTGTGTGGAGTGGTGAGGATGTTACTCGTGCTGATGTAGAAATCTTCATCATTGTCACTGCTGCTCATCTCATCATCGTCCACAATAAACTGGTCAAAGCTGTAAAAAACAACATTCACAATAAACTGGTCAAGGCTGTAAATAACAAAATCCACAATAAACTGGTCAAGGCTGTAAAAAAACAACATCCACAATACTGGTAAACTGGTCAAGGCTATAAAAAAACACAACATCTAGAATAAACTGGTCAAGGCTGTAAAGAACAACATCTACAATAAACTGGTCAAGACTGTAAAGAACAACATCCACAATAAACTGGTCAAGGCTGTAAAAAACAATGTCCACAATAAACTGGTCAAGGCTGTAAAGAACAACATCCACAATAAACTGGTCAACGCTGTAAAAAACAATATTCACAATAAACTGGTCAAGGCTGTAATGAACAATATCCACAATAAAATGGTCAAGGCTGTAAAAACAACATCCACAATAAACTGGTCAAGGCTGTAAAAAACAACATCCACAATAAACTGGTCAACGCTGTAAAAAATGTCCTTAATAACCTGGTCAATGCTGTAAAACACATCCACAATAAACTGGTCAACGCTGTAAAAAACAACATCTGCAATGCACTGGTCAAGGCTGTAAAGAACAACATCCACAATAAACTGGTCAAGGCTGTAAAAAACATCCACAATAAACTGGTCAAGGCTGTAAAAAACAACATCCGCAATGAACTGGTCAACGCTGTAAAAAACAACATCCACAATAAACTGGTCAAGGCCGTAAAGAACAACATCCACAATAAATTGTTCAAGGCTGTAAAGAACAAAATCCACGATAAACTGGTCAAGGCTGTAAAAAAACATCCACAATAAACTCGTCAAGGCCATAAAAAAACAACATCCGCAATAAACTGGTCAATGCTGTAAAAAACAACATTCACTATAAATAAGTCAAGGCCGTAAAGAACAACATACGTATCTGGTATACATTAACTGGTAAATTACTTGACATTACTTGACATGGCCACTAAGCTCTGTATCTGAAAATTGTTCCAGATTAAATTAAATACATAATCTAAACTTAAACAATGTTCCAACATCTGGTTATACTCATCAATCATTTACTAAAAGCTTATTGAATATATCTTGTAACAACTGAACATATCAAGTAATAATAATTTTTATGCAAAGATATTTCAAATTGTCACTGTGCCTGCTTCAATAATATCAACTGATAAAGTCATGCAATTCAGTCATTATGAAAATGGAAACACGTCAAACCTTCTGTTCTTTTTGGGAGTTTCCTTTGATGACACTTTCTTGGGAGCTTTCATCTTTTGGAAAACTGCAACAATCAACAGACAATATTTAACAATGGCATTTCATTAGTCCAGTCATTTTTTTTTTCAACTGAACATCTATCAAAATATGCCCATTACATGGCTAAAATGAGTGATTTTTGTTATGTATACATTTTTTTACTTGTCTGTGCAAAGGTTCTACTTTAAGTCATGATGTTGTTCATTGATCATGTCACTGAAAAGTGGACTACAAACAACATTGCTCCATAGGAAACAAAATATTTTAAAATTCCTTGGATGAAAAAATAACACTGGAATAAATTTTCTCAAGTAACAATATGGCCTTAAATAACTTTTACCATCCATGTTGCCATCTACATTTTTGCCATTTGCCATCCACAAAAATATGGATGACAGGCATGTAATATCAGTATCAATGGAAAAAGCAACATTTCAGTGAGACGGCAAAACATTTAATGTGTTGTGTTTATGCAAATTGATTTAAGGTTCCAAACAATTGTGTAGGATATTTATTTACACTGAAGTCTACAAAAACTGGTACAATTGTAATTACATGATTCTAACTCCTCCTCTTCATCACTAGAATCACTCTTGTAGTGCTTTGGAGTCCTGTAATTAAAATATTACAGTAAAACAATATTCTATGGATGTCGAGTTATGTTATTGTTTTTTTTTCTAAAAAAAAACAACAACAAAAAAACAACATTGTATGTCTCTTTCATCTGTGTTGTATCATGTAATTTTGTAATATAGTTGTCACACTTGCCTCCAGTGGACAGTGCTAGGTTGTTGTTGACCAGTTTTGCTGGATACTTTGTTTTTTTTAACAGAAAAGCCTCTATCAGAAAGAAAATCATCAGAATCAGACGACAGAATTCCCTCATCCCATTGTAACCCTGCCCCCTTAACATCTGGTAAATCACTGTCCGAGTCAGAGGAAATGTCTACATATTTAGCTGTTTTCACTTTATTTGCACTGTTTCCTGCTTTGTCTTGTGTGTGTTTTATTCTTTGATTAATGTCTGGTAAAAAATCATCAAAGTCTGATGAACTTTCTACATTACATTCCTTTTCTCCATTTACATCTTCAGTCCTATTATCCACCATGCCTTTTTCATCCTCTTGAGTTATTCTCAAGCTTGTGAAACCTGGTGCTTTTGGGACAACTTTCTTTGTAAAGAGGCAATCACTAGAGCTTTCTTCATCACTACTGAAGTTAGTATGTCCAATAATTCCACTTTCTTCCTTACTTTTACACGTCACTGAACTTTCCATAAAATTTTCCTCTTGGGAGGACAAATTCTGTTCTGTTTTAAAATATCTGTTCCCCTCTCTCCCTGCATTTTGAATTTTATTGAGGTTTTGGGTGGCTTTCTCAGGAGAAATTGTGTTTCCTTGGCTACCTTTTTGTGAAACTTTGATGAAACTTGTTTGGAATGATCTCTCCTCTACCTCCACGTATGAAGAACCTGATGCTGTATCTTCATCAAAGTTTTTCTGGCTATGAACAACTGCACTGGTCTGTAAGGAGACATCTTCTATTTCAACATAGGAGGAATCAGTACTTTCTTCTACATGATTCATTACTTCTTCAGTTTCAACATCAGTAACTTTAACAATCTGTTCACAAACAGGATATATTCCAGAACTATCATTGCTTTTCCGGATTGAATCATCGCTCTGAGGGGATATAGAATCATCTCCTTCAAGTTTTTGAGATTTGGAATCAGATAAATAATTTATTTCTCTGACATCTGCCTGCGCTGAAGCATCCTCTATCTCTATGTAGGAAGAGTTATCGGTCCTTTCTGGACCCTTGACAGATCTATCAGAAATGTTCTGTAAATCTTCTAATGCCTGGACTGGCTTCTCTGGAACATCATCATTGGAGATATCAACAAAGTCTTCCATCACAGTCTGAAAAGCAGGCTCCAAAACCTCACACTGTGCTGTAGTGTAAAACTGTGTTTCCTCATGTCTTGATCTGTTAATCTGCATCACACTTATGGAATTTGTCTGATCATCCTCGGGAAAATTTGATTGTTTATGATTTTTCATTATATTAAGGTGTCTATAAGAATCTTCATCAGTTACATTTTGTCTTGTACTTTCATTTTTTGAACTCTCTTTCTTTGAAAGGTTGGAACTATTGGACAAGTCTAATAGCTTGTCAATGCTTTCTCTGCTATGAATTCTTGTAGATTCTTGAATGGGGTTTCCAACTTCAGCAGTTGAAATGGAGTACCTTCTGTCACTGTTTACAGCCAAACCTGGTGATATATTTTCTGTATCTGCTGCTGGAATTATGGATATGCGAGTTGTCTTCTTCAGACTTTTCTTTGATTCTTTCCATTCCTTAGTTAAATCAGTGCAAGCTTTGGATTTCCTAGGTAAGACTGGTTCTATCAAGTCTTCATAACTGTAAAGTATTTGTTTCTCCTGTAGTGGTGATGTGTTAAAGGAAAGCTTGTGTATTTCTTTATCTTGATGTAACAAGTGCTTTTCTTTGGATCTGTTGGTATTCTTTGACTCCTTTTCTGTAAAGAAAGTATATGCTAAATTCAAAGACAACAAAATATTTTGGGAAAAATACATTGCATATGAACAGCCCTGTAAGTCTATTTGAAAAAATTGTCAATAAAATATTGTAATAAAGGATTTATTTAAAAAAAGAAAAAAACAGTTAAGGTTGAAATATACCTTTAACAGAACCATGAGCCACTTTACCAGCTCTGGATTTTGTTGATCGTTTTTTGCTACTCTTGGACAACTGCAAAAATGTTCAACGATAATGATTTCATATACTTAATGAAAGTAGATAAAAAACTTACAGATTAAACAAGAGATGTTTGTGAAACACTTATACCCCCCCCCCCCCCCAATAATTGGAATTTTTCTAAGTCCAAGGGGCATATGATAACTCTGTCAAAAATTGCTCGATCGCACCCAAAACAGAACTTGACCTAGATATTCTCATGATAAATCTGTATACCAAATTTCATTTCAGTATGTGCAACCTCCGCAAAGAAAATGAAGGGAAACTGCAAATAATTGGAATTTTTCAAGTCCAAGGGGCATAACTCTGTCAAAAATCGCTCAATCGTACCCAAAACAGAATTTAACTTAGATATTTTTATGATAAATCTGTATACCAAATTTCATTTCAGTATGTGCAACCTCTGCGAAGAAAATGAAGGGAAACTGCAAATAATTGGAATGTTTCTAAGTCCAAGGGGCATAAATCTGTAAAATATTGCTCAATTGTATCCAAAACAGAATTTGACCTAGATATTCTTATGATAAATCTGCATACCAGATTTCATTTTAGTATGTGCAACCTCTGCCAAGAAAATGAATGGAAACTGTTTTTGGACCTACAGACAGACAGACCAATCGACAGACAGCAGCAAAGCAATATGCCCTCCCTTCTTCGAAGGAGGGTCATAATTAAAAAAAAAAAAAAAAAAAAAAAAAAAAAAAAAAATATATATATATATATATATATATATATATATATATATATATATATATATATATATACACACACATATATATATATATATACACATGTTGTATATACATGTATATATATATTCTCTCAAACAGGCTTCTCTTTTTTAAACATACCGTCCTCAGTGCTGTTTCTAAGTTATTGTATTGGAACCATCCCAACTGATCTCCCATCTTTTTGAACATCTCAGCGACATTTGGTTTTGAGTCACATGATAAAGGTGTACTAGTAAACCTTACAGACTCTGTGTCTGTTGGTGTATCTGGAGCCGTCTCTTCAGCCATTCTGGTGTGTCTGAAGTATAATGACAACTGTCAAATTTAATATACAAGTTTTATCATATCTGCACAATATTTACGCAGAGACATAAAATTTTATGTAATCTATGGGTGAATTTGATGCACTGAAATGGGTACAGGTTTCGGTTTGGGTTACTGTCATTTCACCCCAAAACCAGAATGTCACATGCATGATTTTTACTAGTGCCCAAGTACAACACAAGCGCCCAAATTGCAACTTCACCAGCGCCCCAAATTGAAACCATGAGCACCCAAAATAAGCATCTGGAGTGCCCCAAGTCATTGAACGTCCTGTCCAATCTTGCATCATGGGCTCACGTAATGCGATAACTTTTATATATATAAAGTAGGGATGTCAAAATATTTAATATTTTCCTTAGTCGATTATTCGATTGCATTATTCGAACGATAGTGGAATATATTCGGAACATTTCCTGAAATTAAAGTTGTATTTGAAACTTCACTGGTACATGATTTATTTATAATTCAGAAACCCTTTTAATAAAATCTATCTAAAAAGTAACATCAAAATTTATGCAACGTAACGCGTGGAAAGCATGATTATTTGAATTTCGAAACCTAATTTTCGTATGATTTCCCCATCAATAGAATTCATAAATCGGTTTGTAAATGCAGTCAGTTTTTATTTTAGTAGGCAAAGAAAAAGAAATGCCAGAAGATATTTTTTAAAGATTATTATGAAATAAATTGGGGGAGGGGGGTTAATCTCACACTATCCACACGTCAAGTGCCTGTGAAATTGTTAAACATTTAGATGCGTACAGCTTATTCAATTATTGTTTGCTCTGGCTAACAAAATGTCCTGATACAGCTTAAAATGTAAGCGAATTGTTTTGATAATTATCGAAGTGTCAAAACATGTCACAGTTATGGTTTCTTCCTTGCGCTTTAGCGATCTTAAGATAACAAAAAATAATTGGTACATGGTATAAGATCAAGTCCAATTTATAATTTTACAAACAAAGCCTAGTAAATTGGTGGATAATTAATTACAAAAACAACACAGGCAGTTACTGATAAATAATTCCAGCAGTACACGGCAGTAGTGAAGCACTTATAATTACTGTACTTTCTATACGTACATGGAAAATCAACCATTTTTTGTTGAGGAAAATTATCTTATCGACTGTCTCTGAGGAAAGATGGTTTCTCAATTTTGTGATGACAATTCCATCATGTTATCACTCTTTTATTGCATTTATTTAATTATGATAATATTTGAATGTCGTTTCATTATCCGATCGTCGGTTCATTCGACTGATAGTCGCATAGTCGACTATTCGTTGACATCCCTAATATAAATCATTGAACAAATAATTTATTTATTTAACATTTTATTTCAATCTATGCTGCCATTGGTTTATTATTAGTTGGACACAACCGTTTAAGAAGGGTACACAACGTTTCAGGACCTGACTTATACAACGTTTCGGGACTATCAATGAGACAATTCAAAACTTAATTGTTAGTACTTGGGTTTCATTTTCAGGACTTCAACAGGTTATTATATTATGGTGATATAGTATGTTTTTTCTTAGTACACATAGCACATAATTTTTGAGCCATATTGATAACCGCTGTATGTGTAATTAAAGCAATAATCTACTGTATTTCTTTACTAGGTTACAAGTCTTGAGGTGCTTGAAATGTTCATTTGGGGCATTCATGAGAGGAATTTGGGGTGCTCCTAGTCCTATTCGTACTTGGGCGCTGATAAAAATCTTTGGGGCGCTCATGGTTTTGGGGCGAAGTGACTAGCACCCTTTGGTTTATAGTTTTGTCAGTTTGAAACTACCAGTTTTCAAACTGGTTTATTGTTTCAATCCGGTTTACCACAGTAAAACAAATGAACAGTTTAGATCATAGGGACTTGAGACAATCTTAGCAAAATCGGGTATATAGTATAATATACCCGATTTTGCTAAGATTGTCTCAAGTCCCTGTGGTTTAGATTTAAAGATGTCTCTGGTTTACGTTTTATCGATAAAAATCTGTATCTGTACGTTGTAGAATCCAGTTATGGCTTTTTAAGAAAAATCACTGATGAATATGTCGTGCAAAAAATAAAGTCATCAGCATTAAGTAAGAAGTAATTTATTACAACTGATTATATACTGAAACCTTTTTAAAGTTATCTGTGTATTATTCTTTATAATTAGAAAACACCACTCTACGTTCACATACCATGCATACATATTCAAGCACCTTTCAACCGGAAGAGAAATTGAATTTCGCGCACTTTCGTATGTCGCAAAAGAATATAGCCAGACTACAAAGCGATCTCTTCATATTTTAAAACTTAACAACTTCGATAAACAAAAATTTTGCTTATTTGAAAGTAAGGATAAAATTTCTTAATTATCTTAATTTTTAATAAAATTCATAAATTATGAATTTTGCGACAACCGTAATGTGACCATTGATGAATTTTAGATCTAGGCAAACCCAAACCTGTCAGATTTTGGTAAGTAGATACTTTTGGATACATTTTTCAGTGAAAATGTCACATTATTTAAAGAAAATATACATGAATGTTTGCATTACATATTTTGTGAAAATTATGACCAGGCAATCATACCAAATAGGTTGTTTTTTTGAAGCAGAATGCCAAATTTTTTTTTACTCAAACCCAAAAAGGGCTTGAATTATTTGAAACATGCTAGGTCATCGATTTACTTAGTTTAAAAATTATGATTTTAACTCTATTCAATTGGTAAATTGTACATTTTTGATTTTAAAAAATTGAGCTTATCTTGGTGTATGAGGAATTAGGATGGGATCTTTTACAAACTAGGAGGAATTTAAAGTTCATAAGTTGATATTATTTTATAAAACATAAATGGCTATTCACCTCAATATTTGTATGATTTGATTCAGCCATACTGCCAATCAAATCATTCTTATAACCTCAGAACCAATGAAACCAATGATGCACAATTCAGTATTCCTTACATTAGAACTACATCTGAACTTAATATGGAAAGTTTTAGAAACTTTTTTTATTTGAGACTTAAAGAATACAACATAAAACATTGTCGGTTAACTAAAGGAATAATGCAAGTATTTGATGGAGACTTATATAACCAATGTTTATCAGACATACCAATGTGTTTACATGGCTGATTCTATTGAAGGTGCTTACCATTGCTTTTTTGCTTGTCCAAAATATTACATCCTCTAGAGATGTACTTTTTTTGAACAATCCAAAATATTATTGATTTTTATTATATGGTAGTCTTGATCATAAACTCAATATTAATATTCAGATATTTGAATCAGTACATGCATATATTACAGAAATAAAGTGTTTTATTTAAACACTGTCATATATGTAACTTTTTTCAACATTTCCAAACCAGTAATTCTCTGTATTTTTTCCTTCTCTTTTCTTGTTTCTTTTTCTACAATGTTTGTTTAATGAATTAATATTATACTTATACTGTATATTAATTAATAGTAAATACACATGTAATTTTGGATGTAGCTTGGATGCATAAATAGTATACATGTATTTATTTATTGCATAGAATAAACTAAATGCTTTTATTTTTGTTTGGATGGAAAGATAATGCAATTACTTAATTGGGACTTTATTTTTTTTCTGAAATGCATCAAATTTAGCTGGGACTCAACCTTCTCAAAAATCTTTGGTCCTTGGACTCAAGTTACAAAATTCTAGTGAGAATCTTATTTACAATGAAAGGATGACTGCACTTAAGGACATGCGAAATTTGCGACAAAATAAACTTTCAAAACAAGCATTTTTCTTTTCATTGAAAGAATGGTCAAAATCCAATCTACAACTTTATGTAATTACGTTTAATAAAAGTGTGTATTTACAAGGTTTGAATCTGTTTTCAAAGGCAGGGGTCATCACAATTTCTTGAATCTCCGTTCGATAATGAAGACGCCCACTTTTTTACTGACTTTATACATAGTCAGCGCATGTTTGTCTATTGTTCTACGTTTAACAGTAGTTGTATATTTGCATAAATAACAATGTGCCAAAAGGAGATCAATAGACAAATATGCGCTCATGGTTAAAAAGAGAAAAAACTGCTTCTTCTTACATTCGTTCTCTGTGTTGTAACCAAGGATTGTGACTTGTTGAATATTATAATTCACCACGTGATTTCTTACCTCAGGTAACTTTGTGAATACTAGATTCCGTCACGTGACTTGTAAGGTAGCATGTTATGTGCTAACTAGGACATTGTGTTCGAACACGTTAAGTCATCTGGCATTGATATAAAATCTGCTTTAATCACATTAACGTGTTCATATTGTTAATTTCGTTTTGAAACCTTTGTCAGAAGTGTATTTGTGCCACACAGAATAGAGAGGGAGATTGGAAAGAGTGATCACGTTCTTTTTTCCAAACATGTCATTGTTATTTATCAAGTCTAATTTTAGACCCATTCTTACAATGTTAGCCCCACCTCTCTTGCATATCTAATGTTCAATCAAGGGCAGGTAAGTGTAAATTCACTATATTTGAAAAGCAGTAAGGACAAAAAACATTGAATCATTTTATTGTATCACAGTCTAAAATCATTTTAAGATTTAAATTTGGTTCCAAATTGACAGGATTCTTTCATAAACATACAAAAGTGAAATAAGATTTAGATATAAAAGCAACAGAAGCAATCGAAAAGGACCCAAAAACAGGCGTTAAGTGCAGTCATCCTTTACCGGCCCATACAGTAGACGGCATTACATGTTTATAAAATTTTAATTTTGATATTAGAATAAACACATAGCAAGATAAATATACAAATATGCAGCAAAGGATAAGTAATGAATAAAATTCTTAAATAGTAGATAAAGCTTATCAAAAATTCATCTCTGCCAGAGAAATGTATGTATGGAGACAATCAATATAATGTCAGTGATGTAGTATTGTGAATGTTGATTGGTCTTAGACAAGTCAGTGCCTTATTTGTATTTTTCTTATCAGTACAAACACAAAG